TGCCCTCCCCTGCTGGCCTTATCGCCCACAACTGCCCTCCCCTGCAGGCCATCTTATGGCCATCTTGTGTGTTGGAGTGATGGTCAATTTGCATATTACTCTTTTATTAGATAGGATTCCACTTGTGATGGACATTTAGATTCTTTTGACTTCTTTTTAATTTTTAATTTTTTTATTTTTTCTTAGAAAGAGAGTGGAAGAGACAGAGAAACATCGATGTGAGAGAGACACATCAATTGGTTGCCTCCCGCACATGGCCCTGGGCTAGGGATCGAGCCTGCAGGGGAAGTATGTGACCTTGACCAGAATCGAACCCAGGACCCTTTAATCCAAGGGCCGCCACTTTATCCACTGAGCCAAATCAGCTAGGGCTCTTTTGACTTCTTTGGATATCCTGAGTAACGGTGCCTGCTGTGAACATTTGTGCACTTTCCCCCCTTTTTTGGCGGGTGGTGGTGGTGGTGGTATACAAATTTCTGTTGGATGTGTTATCAAGGAATAGAATTGCAGTTAAAGAGCATGTATGTGCTCAGCTGCAAAATGGTTTTTCAACGTGGGTAAATGAGTGTTTTCTCCTGCCAGGAGCAGTATATGCACATTATAGTTGCTCACCATCCTTACTAACTAACACTTGTGACTGTCTTGAATTTTAGCCTTTTGTGGATGAGTAGCACTGTCTTGTTGTTTTCAATTTGAATTTCCCTGATGACTAATGAGGTTTAGCACTTACGTTATGTATAGGCCTTTTGAATACCCTTTTATAACTATTTGCCTGTCAAAAATATTGAGTTATTTGTCTTTTCCTTATTGATTTGAAGTCTTCACTTGATCTCTTCCATAGATTCTGTGACTTTAAGTGAAACACTGTATAAAGAAACCTGTTTTACCGCAGGCTAATTGATATAAACTAGAGTGAAGTTACTAATCCATCTTGGCAATGTTTTAACAAAACCATGTTGAACAAAGAATGTTATTCCAGGACGTGCTGCACACTGATGGGAGTTCTCTGTTGCCTGTATTGAAAAGATCTTCTCCCATTTGGTGGAACTATTTGTTGTGCCATCTGATGAACATTTTTAAAAAAATATATTTTTATTTCAGAGAGGAAGGGAGAGGGAGAGAGAGGTAGAAAAAAACACCCATCAGTGGTGAGAGAATCATTGATTGGCTGCCTCCTGCACGCCCCCTACTGGGGGTCGAGCCCGCAATCTGGGCATGTGCCCTAACCGGGAATGGAAACATGACATCCTGGTTCCTAGGTTGACGCTCAGTCACTGAGCGATGAACATTTAGATTTATCAGTCTTTTCCTTTATGTTTAGTGCTTTTATATGTCCTGTTCAGATTTGGTTATAGAGTTTTCCTACCCCAGGGTCATGAAGATGTTCTATGTTTTCTTTCAGAAACTTTGTTGTTTTACCTCTCAAATTTTCTGTCTATAATCCAAGTGGAATTTTTTTGCATGAATGTCTGACTTGTTTTGAGGCTAATCTTATCTGACCTTAGTTCTTCAAGTTCTGGGAAGCAGTCGGGTGTATCGGAGTCCTCAGTGTTCTTCGTGAACTTGTCAGGGCAGTGTTTGAGTAGCCTTGGGAATTGAAGCCTCTTCTTACCATAGCATGGCACTTGTTCTTTGTTTTGTGATCTTTATCCCATTATTACTTGAAAGTGTAGTCTGGGGAATAGGACCACATCTTTAATTGCTATTAATTCCTTAACCACGTGCAGTGTGGATTCTGGCTTCACCACCTGCTTGAACAGCCTTCTTGCCAAATGGGGAGAATTTTCTACTATCCTTCAACCAGTTGTGTGTCTTGAACATGTTTTTTGTTTTTACATCTCTATTTTGATTGTTGACCTTGGCAAAGTCTCAGCCTCCTTTCCTTACAAAGTTTCATTTTGAAATCCAGTTGGAAAAGCCCTGCAGCCCGAGGGCATGAATCTCCAGTTTCAAAGTAGTTCTGACCACTTCTGTTGTTTTGTTTTGGACTATGTTCATTTGTTATCTAAAACCAAATAAAAATGATAGCAGCCATAGCTAGGAATTAGATCATTCCTTAGGTTCTCAACCTTCCTAATGCTGCGACCCTTTAATACAGTTCCTCATGTTGTGGTGACCCCCAACCATAAAATTATTTTCGTTGTTACTTCATAACTGTAATGTTGCTACTGTTATGAATCATAATGTAAATATCTGGTATGCAGGATGTATTTTCATTGTTCGTGACCCACAGGTTGAGAACCGCTGCTAGAGCTTTCATAGATCATTTCATTTGATCCTCATAAGACCTACTGGGGTAGGTTATTAGTATTGCAGTTATAGACCATGATTGAAATGCAAGTAGCACATTATTTGTTTTAGTTGAGAAACACCAGATTTGGTTACAGTTTCCTTTTCCATGAACCATCATTTGGTGGGAGCATCCATCCTGTGACCCTTGTGGATACTTTTGTCTTTCTGCTTTCTGCTGGAATGCTAGCTTTTTTGGGTTGGAGCAGGGAAGGTAGGCTGGATGGGAGTAGAGATAGAGTTGGATTCTTTGGGAAGATTGTGAGGAACTTGCCCCAACAGCCTTTTAATGCAGGACCAGTAGTTGTCAAGTGCACAAACTTGTGCCTTAAGAACCAGTATGAAATAAACCTTGGAGGTTGGGGTTACCTGAATGTGATGAGCTCAGGTTTTCCCCCAGGATCTACTCTAAAATGATCACTATGAGAAAAAGTTGTGGAGCAGGTGTCATTGGAAGATGTGTCCTTAGTTTTCAGGAATCCATTTTGGCTCCAGAAGAACTATTTAACTGAATAACTGACTTTAGTTCAACAAATATCTCTTGAGTTATATTTATTTTTATTTTTTGTCAGTAAGTTACTTTGACATGTGAGATTTTTCCTTTGATTCTTTTAAATATTCCCATAAACTTTTTTAAAAATAGCTAATTCCTTTTTTCAAATGAAATGGTGCACCAAATCAATTTATGAAACAGACCAAACATTTTTTTTAATATGTAAACTCATTTTGGAAATTTGAATTTTACTTTGCAAGTCAGTTGTCATTACATAGCCATCAATGAGGCTGGTTTGATCACCACAAAAACCTGAAATGGGACCTAACTGATTTGGCTCAGTGGATAAAGCCTTGGCCTGCGGACTGAAGGGTTCCGGGTTCAATTCTTGTCAAGGGCATGTACCTTGGTTGCAGGCTCGATTCCCAGTAGGGGGCGTGCAGGAGGAAGCTGATTGATGTTTCTCATCAATGTTTCTATCTCTCTATCCCTCTCCCTTCCTCTCTCTAAAATCAATAAAAATATATAAAAAAAAAACCCCAGGGGATTGGGGGTCAAGGGGGGGATAAGGACACATATGTAATACCTTAATCAATAAAGAAAAAAAAACACACCCAAGACATGAAATGGGTTAAAAAGATTGCAGTCTTTAGTCTTGCGTTCTAGTTATTTCTACATTTGAGAAAATTTTGTAGCTTTTCAGTTTAACTTGCAATCTAAGGATATTTTATAAAATTCAGATGAGAAAATTCTTGTCATCACTTAGCATGTCAAAATTCAGGTGTCATTGCACAGCCATCAGATCATGACCGCAGCAGGAGAGGGACAGCATGCCTGACACTGCTTGAACGTGGCTCTCGTGTACTGTGTTGTGTGCTCACATGTGCCAGTTGATGTAGATGGGCTGGTGCAAGCCTGATTTAGCTTCGGTAATTAGTACTCATTGCAAGATGTGCTGGTTTATCCAGGGAGATGGCCCAAGTTCTCCAGTCTCCTGAAAAGTCAGTTACCAAGTGGAGGCCTCTAGTAATATTACAGTTTGATACATAACACATTTGAATATTGACTTCTTTTAAAGCGTAGTTTTTCTAAGTCAGCTTTTACTCTCTGGGCCAGGGGTCCTCAAACTTTTTAAAACAGGGGGCCAGTTCACTGTCCCTCAGACCGTTGGAGGGCTGGACTATAGTTTAAAAAAAAACCTGAACAAATTCCTATGCACACTGCACATATCTTATTTTGAAGTAAAAAAACAAAACGGGAACAAATACAATATTTGTATTTGCATGTAGCCCGCAGGCCGTAGTTTGAGGACCCCTGCAATGGAGAGGATGTGGGAAATGAAGTAGGGGGAAGGTGGGTGGGAAGATGGGAATTAAGAGAGAATTAAGCAACCAGAACTGCTGTTGGCTCTTGATTATCTCTGGGAAGATTAATGCCAGTGAGGATTCGGATGGTGTGGGAATGCTCACTTTTTGCAGATGGGCTGTGTGAAGGAGTGTTGACTCAAATTCTGCTGCTGCAACTGGTGCGAGAGAAGAGGAAGTGGGTTTGAAAGAGGGGGTGGGCGAACTTTGGAGTCTTGAGCCCTCTCCTCCCATTCTCCACCCAAGCCGCTTTGCTGAGAGTCTGGCTCTCTCTGTGGGTCTGTGATTGGAGGTGCTCTCTAATTTTGAGTTCCTGCTCAGCTTGGCTCTTACTGCACCTTAATCTCTGTTGGCTGCTCATGTGAGATTGAGATTGACAGGATGTGTGACTCTTGAATTGAAGCACCTGCAAAACCCCAAGAATCCATGTAGCAGTTTAACTACAATTTCTCTGAATCCAGGTTATGCAGACATGGGGCGTAGTCTATAGGGAACCCTAACCTGAATATCTTAACACTGCCTATTCAGTCAGGGCCGTGGGCTGTTAATTTGCTTTCAATATGTTTCCAGAATTAAATTTTGAATGATTTGCTTCTTTTTTTATTAGCATAAATAATTGAAAACCAATTGCACTGTAGCATGAATTTATGGAGTATACTAAAACCTTTGGTTTCAAGCCAGTTGGAAAGTTCCCTTGTTTTTCTGGCTTATACCATATATTTGAAGAATGTTGAACCAAGATGTTTTCAAGAAGTAAATTGCTATTGCTGTTGAATGTGACCTGGAAGAAACTGAGGAACAGTAGAACTAAAGTTACTGTTTATTGATTTTATTTTTTCAAATTCTTTTGTTAGGCATCTGAAGAAACCTCCCTCAGGGCATTGGAAAGTCTGATGACAGAGTTTTTTCATGACTGTACAACCAATGAGAGAAAACGTGAGATAGGTAAGTGAAGTGTTGAGTTGTAGTCATTTGTAATGGAAAAGCCCCAGTGGGGAGGGAGAGTTGGTAGCCTTGGCTTGTCAAGCCTGAATGTTACTCCTTAAGTCAGTGATGGTGAACCTTTTGAGCTCGGCGTGTCAGCATTTTGAAAAACCCTAACTTAACTCTGGTGCTGTGTCACCTATAGAAATTTTTTGATATTTGCAACCATAGTAAAACAAAGATTTATATTTTTGATATTTATTTTATATATTTGAATGCCATTTAACAAAGAAAAATCAACCAAAAAAATGAGTTCGTGTGTCACCTCTGACACGCATGTCACAGGTTCGCCATCACTGCCTTAAGTTCTTGTTCTTTTGGCTCTGGTTCTGCTGGTTGGTGGCCAGTGAGGTCTGCAAATCTAGCTGCAAGGGCTATGTACTAGTATAGTTCATGGAGCCCCCGGTAATCCACAGTGATGGATTTTCTTTCTTTTGATAAAGTCTGGGAAAACCCCCCTCCTGCTTTGTCCTTGATTTTAGCAGTGTTGAACTTTATAAGAAGCCTGTAAGTATTAATTTAAAAAAAATTCAAAGAAATGTTAAAGCGAACAAATTTTTGGTGTGTAGATGTCTAATCTAAACCTCATCTAGTGCCCAGAGATCCTTAAACTGGTCTTACCTCTGGGGGCTTCTTGCTTCTTTTTCCTTATCTCCATTTCCTTATTTCTGTTATCCCACCCTTTCTGCAAGTTTTTATGAATGAAGACTTCAGACAACAGAGAGGTGTAGGTATTTACCTCAGGTTTTTAGGGAACCTCAGTGCCTTTTAGAACCTCTTTGATTTTATATTCATTGACATGAACAATATTCTTTAAAGTGTACTTTAAACTAGAAGTGTATACAGATATCAGATCTCTGTCTCAGGGACATGTTGCTCTATGGTCAAAGTATAATCCTTTTTCCTCCCAGGCCTCAGTTAAACCCTGAACTTGAAAATGAAAAATTTTTCTCTATTCAAACTTAAAGGGTTTTTCCCTTGGATGTTTGTACTGACCTTACATTCATTGCTTTTACCTCCGTGGAGGTCTTTATGTGGAATTCTGTGGAGGCCCATTTCTCTGTCCCATTAGGCTTCTCTGACACGTTGACAAGTTAAGTGTTATGGCTGATTCTGGTTGAGTTTCGCCTTTTGTCCGAAGCTTGATTGGAGTTTGGATTTCGAGGTCGCCAGTACGGCTTTGACTAGAGCCCATTTCCCTTTGCATCCTTTGAGCATCACGTCAGCTCCTGGTAGATGCTAACTTTTTATCTCTTAATTTTAAACGTGGTGTTCTCTTTTGGGCTTGCCCTTTCTTTTCTGAGGATTAGAGAACCAGAGCGTTTCTAAACAAGGAGTCCTGACAGAAGCGGAGCCCCGTAGCTGAGGAGGCATTTGGCTCGAAGGATTCACTTTGCTTGCTTCCCTAGATCCTCGTATTACGCAGTTAGCCCGACCCTCCTCCTGCCCCCAGAGTGATCCCTGTTGCTTTTATGCTATTAAAGTACTTTATAGTGAAAACATCACTGGTGATTTTTACCAAAGAAGGTAAGGGATCTTTCCCTTATACAGTCTACTATAGTTCAATACTAATTTCTCTGAAATCTGTTTTTCACTCATACTTGAATTGCTTTTGGTTTTTCTATTAATTTTTGGTTTGCAAAGCAAATATTGCTCACCTTCAGCATTCATGAATGAAAAGTAGAACCTTTGGAACATGTTTGTATTCTAATCTTAATTAAATAACCAGATGCTATAAATGTCTAATTTAAATGAAAGGTGAGAGGAATCAGGGGTTTGGTTCTATAGAGCGGGTGTGTCTTAGTTCAGCTTCATTCCAATGTGGGCTGGAACCACTTGTTTCCTTTTTCATATCTTAGAATGAACTAAAGGTGCACCTAGCTGGGTGGGAGAAAGGCGCCGCCCACTCGCTACCAAAGGTGTGTTATTAGTGCTCTAGAGAGAGCTGTCAGTAGGGAACCTTGAGAGACAAACCTGAAGCATCATAGAGGAGCAGCAATTCTCTAGGGATCAGACTCAGTGATTTAGTGGCAAGTTCTAGAACAGAACCCTGAGTTCCTCATTTCCAGCCAGAGCTCATTCTCTTCGGTTTGACTTGACCTCTGGGATTCATAGGAATTTTTATTTGATTATAAGAACAGGTCATCAGCTTCCTTTTATGGAATTTGTAATGAGCCTGCCTTCGTGCATGTAGCCTAAGTCCTAGGGTCTAGCAGAGCAGTGACTTTAGGATTAGAACGGGCTGCTGTGCTTCCTGCTTTTCCAAGGGTTTCCTAGAATCTCTCAGGGTTGTTGCCTTTTCCTGTTACATTTCATGACCAGTACAGCAGGTTAAGGTGACTGAGGGCAGCATGTGCAGAAACATGGTGATAGACTTGTAATGCTTGCTGTCTGTGGTCCTGGATGATGCTACCGCAGCCCGAGGAGGAGGAAACCATTTCTAACTGATTTGATGTGGACAGGGCTGTTCTTGGCATCTCCCATGATTGCTACTCTTTTTTACTTTTTTGGCTGGGAGTTAAAAATAAAACTAAACCAAATGAAGAGAATTAGCCATCTTGCATTCACTTGCATTTTTGTCTATTCTTTGTTTATAATTTTTTCCTACTTCTCTAGCCAGCATTTTTTTTGTGTGTGTGTGAACAGTGTGAGTGAGTGGTGGGGAGATATATACAAGGTATCTCCAAAATAGCTGATAGCTCCATTTTGAAAATGAAATGTATGTTAGTAAACACTGCCCTTAAAATTATTCAGAGACACCATAGATATATCTCCTGCCCCAGAGGAAAGATGTTAGCAATTAGCCATCATTTATAAGGTGAAATGATACTTTTATAACTGTCTATCCACACATTAGGTTAAGTAAGAACTTGAACAATTAAAGTTTCTCTGCTGAAAAAAGTGCCTATTGCAAGCTTACTGACTTTAAAATGCCTGAGTACACTGGCAGTGCTCATGGTCATCTCAGAGTTGGAAAAATATGGTCTGTCCTTTCTGTGTTGAAAAATAAGCTGGATTTTGTAGTTGGTTTTGACAACATTAGCACATGTAGAGGGTGGCACATTTTTAAAAAATAAGACAGCCCAGCCTTGTATTAATTTTATATATTTTCATAGCCTTCTTTTGTTGCTATTTAACTTTTCCAGAGGAGCTTCTTAATAACTTTGCCCAGCAAGTAGGAGCCTGGAGATTCTGCCTGTACTTTCTCTCCAGCACTAGGAATGACTATGTAATGATGTACAGTTTGACGGTTTTTGAGGTAAGTTGTCAGATAATTCTATACTGTTTTGAAAAGCATTTGTAGTCACATTGCCATATCATTGGCACAAGACTTTAGCTTTGACGTACAGATGGCTGGGAAACAGTGGTAACTTCACTCAGGGGCTTCTCCACTTGCTGCCATTATCAAGGTGTCTGGTGTGCTGGGGGCACGGTTCTGTCTTTGACACCAGAAAGGTAAGATGGGGTCAGGTAGGTAGGTCCTTTGTGGTAGTATATAACTTCCCTTCCATGTTATCATTTAAAAAAAATTTTTTTTATTGTTTTCAGAAAGGAAGCGAGAGGAAGAGAGAGATACAAACATCAATGATGAGAATCACTGATTAGCTACCTCCTGCATGCCCCCCTACTGGGGATCATGCCCGTAATCTGGGCATGTGAATTGAACCCAAGGTCCTTCAGTCCACAGGCCGACACTCTATCCACTGAGCTAAATCAGCTAGGACACCACGTTATCATTTAGAAAAAGATAATTAAAGTTTGGGAGGAGGGATGATACCCAGAATATTCTCATCCTAAGCACAAAAATTTTCATTTAATCAACTCGCTTCCCATTTTTGCTTTCTATATACACTTTAAAAAAAACCAATTATAATAATCATATTGCTCATGCCACTTTATAGTATGGTCCCTCCCTTGTCTTTATATAATATTTCTGTAAGTGGTTATACCATTGTTCACCAAGCCATTCTTCTGTTTTTGAACATAAGTTGTTTCTGTCATTATTTTGTGGTAGCCGTTAGAGACAGCCATGAAATAGATAGTTTTTACACATACAGCTTTTTTATTTCCATTAAATTATTTAGCAGATCTTTCCAGGAATGGAATTGTTGTTTTATAGGATTTGAATATTTTTATCACTCTTATTGCAACATTGCATTGCTCCAAACCTTTGTTTACAATCAGGATTGCTCGTTTGAGGTGATACAGCTAACCATTGGATGAAAATCAGTTATTTTTCTGTATAGATGGCTAACTTCAGGATGTATATTTGTTTTTCAGAATCTGATCAATAAAATGTGGCTTGGCGTCCCCTCTCAGGATAAGATGGAAATCCGTAGCTGCCTACCCAAGCTCCTTCTGGCTCACCACAAAACCTTCCCTTACTTTGTCCGCAACAAGCTCTGCAAAGTTATTGTTGATATTGGCCGTCAGGATTGGCCCATGTTCTATCATGACTTTTTTACTAACATTTTACAGGTAAGGACGTATCTGAGGAAACTTTATCTTGTATATACTTTGTTTGTAGAAATGATTATTTCCTTTCTTAAAGAGGAGTTTTAAGATTAGCATTTTGGAGCTACAGTAGTGATAAATTCACTTAGTTTTGTATTGTTGAGAGGTGCAGTGGAGAAGGGTGTGGGAAACCCAATTGCTTTGTTAACCTCTTGTGAAATTTTGTTCAGCAAATATTTAAAAGCCTGTTAGGTACTGTGCCAGGTATTGGAGTGCAAGGATGAGGCCTTCAGAGCCATAATTTGATAGGGAGATAGCTGTGCTAACAGTAATTATCCAACAATATGGCAATTACTGTAGTGGAAGTATGTGCAGAGTGCAGTGGCGGCATAGCATTTAGATTCAAGGTGCTGAAGTACCTTGTTGCTGGTGGTGAGATGAGAGGTAGTGTTCAGCGTAAGAGGATAGATTGATGGGCAGGGGCCAGCCCAGGACGGGCCTGGCTCAGTGACGAGTTTGGAGAAGGGAGAAAATGGCACATTTTTATGTTGGAGTGATAACTTTAGCAATCGTGTGGAGTGTGGATTGCAGAGGGGCTGCAGTGAAGGTGGCCAGTAAGGCTGCTGTTTGCCAAGTCTGAGTGAGACAAGGAGAATCTGAGCCAAGCAGAGAGGCCTGCCTGGATAGAGGCGAGGCACTTAGGAGACAGAGTAAAAAAGCTTTGGTCAGTGGGTGGTGAGGGTCAAGGAAGGGAGGAATCTAGGATGTTTTCCAGATTTCAGGCTTAAGTAGCAAATTTTCCAGGCCAGGGATGAAGAACAAAGGAATGAATTTTGGTAGATGATAAATTTAGTTTGGGAGAATAGACACTTAAAATTTGTTTGTTCCTTCAGTATATATCTTGTGAGACATTAGGAAATGTGGATCTGGGGTTCAGGAAAGAGGTCTTACTACATACATGTCAGGATTGGAAGTCATCAGGGAATAACTAGAGGGGACCTAAGCCAAGAGGGAGCTGATATTCATCTGAATCATGTGATACAGCTGGAAACATTTAATTAATATTCGTTTATTTATTTTAAATATATTTTTATTGATTTCAGAGAGGAAGGGAGAGGAATAGAGAGATAGAAACGTTAATGATGAGAGAGAATCATTGATAGGCTGCCTCTTGCACGCCCCCTACTAGGGATTGAGCCTGTAACCTGGATATGTACTCTTTTTTAAAAAGTATATTTTATTGATTTTTTACAGAGAGGAAGGGAGAGGGATAGAGAGTTAGAAACATCGATGAGAGAGAAACATCGATCAGCTGCCTCCTGCACACCTCCTACTGGGGATGTGCCCGCAACCAAGGTACATGCCCTTGACTGGAATCAAACCTGGGACCTTTCAGTCCGCAGGCCGATGCTCTGTCCACTGAGCCAACTGGTTAGGGCTGGGCATGTACTCTTACTGGAATTGAACCCAGGACCCTTCAGTCCGCAGACCGGTGCTGTATTCACTGAGCCAAACTAGCTAGGACTTTTTAAATTCTTTATGATGTTCAACTGAATCATGTGATACTGCTGGAAACATTTTACTTCTTTATTTATTTATTTTTTTTTGAAAAACTTTATTGTTGAGAGTATTACAGATGTTTCCCTTTGCCTCCTTCAACCTGATTCCCTCCCTGCCCCAGGCCTTCAACTCCCTTTTGTCTGTGTCCATAGGTAATGCATATATGCATATAAGTTTTTGGTTAATCTCTTCTTGCCCCCTCCTCCCCCCTTCCCTCTGAGATTCGACAGTCTGTTCCATGTTTTCATGCCTCTGGTTCTATTTTTTTCATCATTTTAGTATTTTGGACTAAGTGAGCTTTAAAATCTTTTCAAGTTTTATTCTCTGCTGCTTATTTATCCATGAGAACCAGTCAGTGGCATGAAAACCATGTCAAGAATGATTGGTGCTCAATTGCTGACATTTCTAATAATGATAATAAAGTGCACCTTTTCTTCAGGTATTGGTAAACAAGACCAAATTGGTTCTGGAATCAACTTCATCATTACATGATTCTTTGATTAAGCCATCTGAAAGGTTTTTTGGACTCAGTTCCATCATGGTCTGCTTGCAGTCTGGGTTGCATAGTTTTTAAATTAAAAAAAAAATTCTTTTAAAATTCTGACAGTTGGCTGAAACATCTATGCAATTTATGCCACCATCATTTTTATTTTTCAGTTGACATACAATATTATATTAATTTCAGGTGTACACCCAGTGATTAGGGAGGAGTTGATTCAGGGCCCCAGAGTATACTTGCAGTTCACTGCATTGGTTGTACCCTTTCTAGGCAACTGAGAAAGAAGTAGTTATAGTCAAAACTTACTGACAACCTCCCTGAACCTCTCCCCCATCCCTGCCATGCACTAGCATACATACTACACCTTTCTAGTCTATTCTTCAGGTTCCTGAAATCTGTGGAGCTGGATCTGTGGCCACTGTGCTGGGCCAGATAGTTTAGGAGCAAGCAGCATAGGAAAAGAATTGCCTTTTCTCCCCGATTGTTCTTTCAAGTAACGAATAACTTTCATTTTCATCCTGTTTCTTGCCTGTCTTCCCTTCTTTCAATGATGAAAAAAGGAGGACTTTAAGATAACATTTTCCATATTGTAGGGATTTATTTCTAGGGAGCACAGAAGCATTTCATATCTATAGAAAAGTGTATTGCCAAATGGAATTTTGGTTGTACAAGTCATTCCCAGCTGAAAGAGTAAGGTTGAAGTTTTGAGGGAAAATAGAGACACGAGAGAAAAAAAGAAAGAAGTGAAAGGGGGAAATAATGGAAATCTTGTAAAATACAGAAGAATAACCCAAATGGAAAGAGGTGCTTACGAAGGGTCAGTTCTACTTTATTGGATGAAAAATTGTTAGATGAGGATTTTCTGTCCCCCAACTCACCACTGCATTATCTGAATTTAAGTTGGTGTTAGAAATAGTCTAAACTTGCGGAAAATGAAGAGAAAACTTGGAGGATGTACTTGAAGTTTTAGCATTCAAGAGAACTGATTTAATAGAGAGCTTATTAAAAAGCTGAGGTAACATTGGTTTAATCACATAAATTTCAGGTTGACAACATTACAACTTGCTATCTGTATACTCTACTGCATGCTCGCTACCACAAGTCTAGTTTCCAGCTGTCACCAATAGAGAGCATTAAAAAAACAAAATGGTTGACAGTATACTTTTTTTTTTTTTTAGTTTTATTGCTTAAAGTATTACAAAGGGCATTACATATGTCTCCTTTTTTCCCCCCACCCTTGACAATCCCCTGGCCTTCCGACAGTATACTTTTTTAAAAAGGGTTTTTAAATTGATTTTTAGAGAGAGAGGAAGGGGGAGAGAAATATCTATGTAAAAATGAAATACCTATCGGCTACCTCCTACATGCCCTCTGTTGGGGATCAAGCCTGAAACCTGGGCATGTGCTCCTATTAGGAATAGAACCGACAGCCTTGTGGTGCACAGGACGACACCCAACCACCTGAGCCACACTGGCCAGGACTAGAGAGCATTTTTAATATGTCATTAATTGCTACTGGTTTTACATAATGCTGTTCCTGAGAGCAGTTGAATTTATCAAAGTTTCCATAATTTGAGTGCTTTTCCTTGGTCTGCAAAGGGAAGAGTTGTTTTCAAGGCAAAGGAAAGTGCCCTATATTTCTTTCTTTAAATCATTTTTATTATTCAGTTGATGTACAATATTATATTAATTTCAAGTGTACACCCAGTGATTAGACATTATATAACTAAGCGATCATCCTGATAAATCTTGTATCCGTCACCATACATAATTATTAGAATATTATTGATTATATTCCCTATGCTGTACTTTACATCCCCATGACTATTCTGTAACAACCAATTTGTACTTTTTTTTTTTTTTAAATATATTCTATTGATTTTTTACAGAGAGGAAGGGAGAGAGATAGAGAGTTAGAAACATCGATGAGAGAGAAACATCGATCAGCTGTCTCCTGCACATCTCCCACTGGGGATATGCCCGCAACCAAGGTACATGCCCTTGACCGGAGTCGAACCCGGGACCCTTCAGTCCGCAGGCCGACACGCTATCCACTGAGCCAAACCGGTTTCGGCAATTTGTACATTCATTTGTGGATAGACATGTATTTATTTCTATTTTATTGATCATATTTTTGATCTTTTTTTTTTCTTATTCTTCTTAAAGAAGACCCTTTAACATTTCATATAATACTGGTTTGGTGGTGATTAAGTCCATTAGCTTTTCCTTGTTTGGGAAGCTATCTGTCCTTTGATTCTAAATGATAGCTTTGCTGGGTAAGAGTAATCTTGGTTGTAAGTCCTTGCTTTTCATCACTTTGAATATTTCTTGCAATTCCCTTCTGTCCTGCAAAATTTCTGTTGAGGAATCAACTGACAGAATTATGGGAGCTCTCTTGTAGGTAACTAACTGTTCTGCTCTTGCTGCTTTTAATTTCTTTAAAAATTTCCTTGAATCCTCACCCGAGGATATCTTTTCCTCACTGATTTTTAGAGATAGTGAAAGGGAGGGAGGGTGAGAGAGGGAAAAGGAGAGGGAAAGGAAGAGGGAGAGGGAAGGGAGAGAGAGACAAAGAGAGAGAAACATTGATGTAAGAGATACACATTGATTGGTTTCCTCCCGCATGTGCCCCGACCATGCCAGGGAGTGAACTTGCAACCCAGGTTTGTGCCCCTGATGGGGAATCCAACCATGACCCTTCGGTTTGCGTGGGCCAACACTCTAACCACTGGCCAGAACAAGATACTCTTTTTGTCTTTAACCTTTTGCATTTTAATTATGGTGTATTTTGGTGTGGGCCTCTTTGGGTTCATCTTGTTTGGGATGCTCTGCACTTCCTGGACTTTTATGTCTATTTCCTTCTGTCATTTTTAAAAGTAGGTTTTCAATTTCTTGCTCTCTCTCTTCTTCTTCTGGCACTCCCATGATGTCAATGTTGGTATGCTTGAAGTTGTCTCAGAGACTCCTTATACTATCTTCTATACTAGTTTTTTGGATTTTTTTTTTTTCCTAAGAGACAGGGTCTCGCTATGTTGCCCAGGCTGGAGTGCAGTGGCTATTCACAGGCACGATCCCACTACTGATCAGCACGGGAGCTTTGACCTGCTCCGTCTCCGACCTGGGTCGGTTCACCCCTCCTTAGGCAACCTGGTGGCCCCCCGCTCCCAGGAGGTCACCAGACACCCGATCAGCATAGTGCACTACAGCCCAGAACTCCTGGGCTCAAGCGATCCTCCAGCCTCAGCCTCCCGAGTAGCTGGGACTGCAGGCGCACGCCACCGCGCCCGGCTAGGTTTTTGGATTCTTTTTGCTGTTCTGATTAGGTGTTTTTTGCTTCCTTGTATTCCAAATTGCTGATTTGATTCTTGGTTTCATCTACTCTATTGTCAATTCCCTGTAACTTATTCTTAATTTCAGTTAGTGTATCCTTCATTTCTCACTGTCCTTTTTTATGGTTTCCATGTCCTTTTTTATGCTATTGAAGTTCTCTCTAAGTTCATGTACTCTTCCCCTAAGTTCATTGAGCATCAGAGGAACAATGACCTCTGCCAGCTCTGTGTCTGCGGGAAAGCTGTCCCCCTACCTCTTGCCCGATGCCAGATGCTTCCGTTCCTCCCCTTATGTCCCTGGTGTCTTTCCAGCTGCTGCCCCAGTGCTGGAGTGCAGAAAGAGTGAGAGTAAGTCCACGTGCAGGCCCTTTAAGAGGAACTGCCTGGGACTCCAGCAGCCTCTGTCTCACTCAGTCTTAATTTCCCCTGGTTTGTATAGCTAGAAGTTAGGGGGACTTCTCTTCCCAGCACTAGAAGCCTAGGCCTGCTGTGGGGTTGGGACTCCTTGCTCCACAGCTGAGATAGCCCTTCTGATTTTTATCCACCACATCTGTATGACCAGCCCGTCTACGTCTTCACCCCTTCTCCTACCAGTCTTGATGTGGCTTCTTCTTTGAATCCTTAATTGTAGGACTTCCATTCAGCTAGATTTCAGGTGGTTCTGAATGAAGGTTCTGTAGTTTAGTTGTAGTTTTGATATGGTTGTGGGACGATGCGAATATGGTGTTTACTGACGCTGCCATCTTGACTGGAAGTCTGCCCTAGATTTCTTGAAGTGGGGAATATACATTCTATCTGTGTGCAGTTCATCCTGTCCTTCTCTTCACTAAGGCTGATATTTTGTTGATTGAGTAAAGTATTTATTTGTATCAGAGTATGAACTACATTTAAAGTTAATTATGATTTAAGAAAATGGTCAAGTATTCCTTAAGTTGTTTGCCCTTTTATAGATTGTAGCATATAGCCAAACAAAGAATTTTAGTGGCAACTCATTTTCTTTTACCAATTCTGGAAACTAAAAAAATGCAATAGTAATGCTTTGAATTTTGTGAAATTGATTAGAAAGAGATAAGTAGTGCTATGCTATTGAAGGTGTTTCCTTTTTTCTGTTTCATGTTTAAGGAAACTTTATTATGGTACAGTGGATATTGTAGGTGCTAGAAAAAGTGACTTGCTGCATAGTATTTGTGAAGTTATAGCTGTATTCTTAGTGTAATGGTATATATGCAGTGTTTCTGCCTGCCACGTGTTTAATCTTGAACTTGCATGAAGCATACAAAGTTTAGAAATGTAAAGTTGACTTAACACTTGAATGTTAAAAAGGTATCACAAGTTGGTGTACATATGTGTTAATAACTAATAAATTTGGACAAAGTAACCAAGGCTGTGTTTAAAATCTAGACATGTATAAAAATCGTCATGTTAGGTGTAAGGGAGCATTGTTGTCATTTTTAAGTTTATGATATTAGCATTTTTTATTTAAAATAAGATGAGAATATATTTTGAATGGTTAAAAAAACGACATAAGTGTGCTCTTAGGTCATTTTTCTAAACCTTTGATTTATGCAACCTATTTATGTATGATTAAACACACAGGGGTACTTTGCAGGTTTATTATTACTCAGACCTTAAACAGTTTTCTCAGAACTTACCTTTTCCTGGCAGTTGATTCAGTCCCCTGTGACAACCCCCCTTGGGCTGATCATGTTGAAAACAACTTCAGAAGAGCTGGCATGTCCCCGTGAGGACCTCAGTGTGGCTCGGAAAGAGGAGTTGCGGAAGCTGCTGCTGGACCAGGTGCAGACAGTGCTTGGCCTACTGACAGGTGAGCACAGGTGGTGCCCAATGTCAGAGGCCTGCCTTCAGAGGACCAGAGCTCAGGCCTTGGCTCTCAGTATATTTGAGCAGTTGTTTTAGCTGTTACTGAATCTGAGCATCAAAACAGAAAGAAGGTGGTGCTATATTCCCAGCACCAGTCCAGTGTCTCGCACTTGGTAGACTCAAAAAATGTTTCTGACCCACTTTTCTTAAAGTCTTCCAGTGATTGGTGCTCACTCTTACTGTGATGAATGAGGTATAGACCAGGCCATCGGAATGGGATTGAAATGCTGATTACTGTATCCTAAGTAAAGTGGGTGGCGAACACCCTATTGAAAATAATTTGTACTTAAAATCAGGAGAAGTTGGAGGAGTAGGAAGATAGAAAATTTCAAATTCTGTGTGGGAGAAGTGAGACAGACAAAGTGTGTAACAGCACCATGTGTGTTAGGTTGTGTTTGTATGTAGCATTTTCTTTGCCATCTTTTCTGTTTGATTGGAGCCCCATGACAGTGGAGAGTAAGACTAAACCGAAAGCAAACTGCCAAGTGAGACAGGAGGGAGGAAGACAGTGGAGCACCTTGAGTCAGGAGGGCGGTGACCACTGTGCTGCCGGTGGGCCTGCTTGTTAGGAGGTGCAGGCTGAGAGGTGCCAGGAGCCTGGGCTTGCTTGGAAATCTAGTGTTGTCTTCAGCTTCTCTACCCAGGTCTCTTGGATGCCTAGGAACTTTTTTCTTTTGTATGTGTTACAAAGGTGCTTAGCATGCAGTGGGCTCTTAAAGTTGGTTATAAGGATGCTTGATCAAAAGTAATCTTGTTATTTGCCCACATCCCTCCCCAGATTTCTAGGCAGAAACCAAACCCTCAGAGCTTTCATTCAAAGCACTTATTGCCATCCCTGACTAAATGTTAAATTTCTAGAGTTAGGGACTGTGTCTGATATCTTTATGTTCCACTTTGTGTAGCTATCACACTATATGGGACATTCCAGAACATTTACAATGCTTCTTCCCTCAACCCACTGTCTGTCTCTATGGATTTTTCTAATTGGACTTTGCATAAAATGGAATCATACAATATGTGACCTTTTGTGTCTGGCTTCTTTTACTTAGCATGATATTTTCAAAGTTTATCCATCCCATAATATTAAATATTTTGGGAACAAAATATTTTCAGAAACTTTTGTGATCATAATAGATACCAGGTTCTATAAGGAGAAACAAAGAGGAATGAAACACAGTCCCTGCCCTCTAGTAATGTTTACTTCATTAGGGTAGGAAGACAGTTAAAAAACTGCATTAAGAGTTATAGTAGAGGTGTGTTTTATGTGCAGGCAAAACCTAACAGACAGGAAGACTCCTTGGAGGAGATGAGCTGAGTGGAATTCTGAGGGCCAGAGAGGTAGCCGTTAGTCTGGTGTAAAGGTCAAGTTGGGATTGTGGGGGAGGGAGCAGGTCAGAGGTTGAGAAAGGGAAGGACAAGTGGAAGGGACAGCAAGTAGCGCAGCGTGATGAAGCCTGGTGTGTGCGTTGGGGGTGAGGTGAGATGGGAGAACAGAGGCCAGATGCGGAGATTGTGTGGATTTAGTGGGTGAGGAAGATAAGAGGAGGCAGGCTTGTGGCGGGAAGGTAAATTGAGTTTGGAATATCCAAGTGGTGCTGTCCAAGAAGTAGTTACACATACGGGTGAGAGGGATGTTTAGATATTGATGTTTGATCAAAGATGTCAATAAAGTGTTTTTCTAAATCTGATTTGCACATGTTGGACTTTATTTTTCTCTTAATCTCAGTTTCCCTTTCTTGGTATAGGTATCTTGGAGTCTGTCTGGGACAAACACAGCGTTACTGCCGCCACCCCGCCACCATCCCCAACCTCAGGAGAAAGTGGTATGGTCTGCCCACCACATGGTGTTCTTTTTAAGTACAGTGGAGGGTCTCAGCAGGGTAGCAACTGCTTATTTATGCCAGATCCAGATGCTGACCCTTCATTAGTCTATTTTTGGCCTTTTTGTCCATGTTTTCTGAGTAGCTTTCTTAGTTCCTCTTAAGTACTCACTCTTACTTCCTAGTATACTACTTAGAATGACATGTTTTGTTTCTTCCTTGCCCATCAGGAAGATGGCACCTTTGATCTTCTGTCACCCACTTCCATCCCCTTCAGCTTATATCTCTGATCCTCCTGGTTTGTTTTTCCCTTTTTCTCACTTATCATGGCTGTGTGGCTCATGCATGGGGCCTGATGGGTCGGCTTTGTAGTTCTGCAGGCGTCGCTGTTTGTGGCAGAGGCGGAAGGAGGGGACGGGTACGTGCGAGTGCTTTCTTCCCCACTGGGCTCATGAAGACCAGTGTGTGGTAATCAGCTTTGACTTGACATCAGGTCAGAATAATTTGATAAAGCATGGGCATATTTGCAGTGGTCATGAAATAGTTTACTGTAGTTAGTTATTGTCTACAGTTACACTAATAGCTGTTTCAAAAGTCAGGGTGCAGTTCACCTAAAAATGGCTACTTTCAAGGATGGGTGGAAAGAGGAAATTGCGTCTGAGCTGGAACTTTTAGTTTCTAAATGCTTTTGTTTACACTAAGTAATCACAAATGCTTTTCAAGTAGAGTGCATCCTGTGAATTGGCACATATTTCTTCCTCTACTGTAAAGGTTGCTGTGGCTAATGAGAAATATTTCCACATCTTTCTCCTCTACCCCAAGGAAATGTGATGTTGAAATCAGACATCTCTAAGCCCATGCTGTTTCACGTAACCTTTTGTTAATATGTGGAAGTTGAAATTCTTGCAGTTACTAGATAATTGAAAATATATCATGAAATTTTGGGGACTGTTCAGAGTTTACTGGCCCGTGTGGCTCAGTTGGTTGGAGCATCATTGGTGATAGGTTCACTTCCCTGTCAAGGCACATATCCAGGCTGTGGGTTCGATCCCTGGTTGGGGCGCATGCAGGAGACAACCCAACTGATTGATGTTTCCTTCCCTCCCTTCCTTCCTCCCTTCCTCCCTCTCTCTAAAACCAATAAAAAAAATAAATAAATAAAAGTAAACACTAAAAAAAATGCCCTGGTCAGTTTTGCTCAGTGGTTACAGCGTTGGCCCACAGGCCAAAGGATTGTGGGTTTGATGCCAGGTCAAGGGCATCTACCTTGGTTGCAGGTTCAATCCCCTAGCCCGGGTCAGGGCGAGTGTGGGAGGCAACCAGTTGATGTGTCTCTCTCGCATCGATGTTTCTCTCCCTCCCTCCCTCCCTCCCTCTCTCTCCCTTTCTCCCTCTCTCCCCTCTCTCCCCTTCCTCCCCCCTCCCTTTCACTCTGAAAAATCAATGGAAAAAATATTCTCAGTGAGGATTAAAAAAAAGTAAAAAAAACATGTTTGGAGTTATTTATCATACTTCTTAGATTAAAATCTATTACAGAGGCCTAGAATATATTAAAAGCCCACAGAAAATTGAACTTTGTTTGTACTTTGTGGCAAACCTTCATTTTCAAGGTGAATGAATGTTTGAGGTGACTTACCAGATTTATATTTTGCGATATTTGAATGACTGAAGAAAAAATTGCAAATGATACAGAGATTTGATTTGATGAATATATTCCTTGGAGTGTCCTGCAATTTAGCTAATCTTAAAATGTGTCATTTCACTTAAATAATGGTTTGCAAAGATTAGTTCTTTTGAATTAGATTTGTTTTTAGATAGTTGAATCCTAGCTTACTTACCATCCAGTTAAAGTTAACAGCATCAGGCATATTCCAGAAAAACTTGTTTTTCTGTGATGCTTTTCCACTACCAATATATTTGTGTTTTAGTTGGCTTTGTTCAGGTACATTCCAAGCTAAAACTCAGTTTATACTTTGATAGACTTAATTTTTGGAGCCCAGGTTGGGGAATATCAAATAATATAAATAAAAAATAATGTTTGCTCTTTGTGTCTTGCCTAGGTTTTGTGTATGAGGTTAGGGAAAATAAAATATGAACTAATTTGACATTTCCATATAAATAAAACCTAAAAACATGGTGTGTATTTCTTGAAAGTTGTCTCTTAGACACTATTAAATTTTTTTTGAAGTCTTGAATTTTAGTATTTGAGAAAAAGCAAAATAAATTGAGACTGTGGGCGTGGGAGGGAGTGTGCAGGAGGCAGCTGATTGATGTTTCTCTCTCATCGATGTTTCTAACTCTATCCCTCTCCCTTACTCTCTGTAAAAAAATCAATAAAATATATTTTTAAAAAAACCACACACACATAAAAAATGAATTTTAGTTGGAATTTAACAGGTATTAAATGGAAGGAATTGCTGACCTTGAGATGCTTTTTCCACAAGGAATATTAGTTTGTAAAAGATAATTTTTAAAAATAAAAATATTTTTATTGATTTCAGAGAGGAAGGGAGAGGGGAGAGAGAGATAGAAACATCAGTGATGTGAGAGAATCACTGATCCGGCTGCCTCCTGCACGCCCCCTACTGGGGTTTGAGCCCACAACCCAAGCATGTGCCCTTGACCGGAATTGAAACCAGGACTCTTCAGTCCAAAGGCCGACACTCTACTTACTGAGCCAAACCAGCTAGAGCAAAAAGATACTTTTAAGGTTAAGAAAAATAGATTTGCCTGGCTGGTCCAGTACACCAAAAGGTTGTGGCTTCAGTTCCCAGTCAGGGCACAAAAACTAGTTTCTTAGTACATGTTTTAATTTTAGGCCATATATTTAGACTTGCTTGTGAAAGATGAGAGAGTTAGTGCACCCTTCTAAAACTCCAGTGTTTGTTTAGTCTTGATTCTATATTTAATTCAGGGCTTGCGTTAGTCACTTTGCCACACTTCTCAATTCCTTAATTCTTTACTTTTATCACTTTATATGCAAGTTTTCATTGTTCAGTATCCTCTCAAGGAGAACTTATGGGCAGTATATTTATTATCTGAGTTTTCGCATGTTTGAGAAAATGTCATCTTCCTTTATACTCAAAGGAGAACTTTAGGTTAAGTCATTCTTTGCCCCAGAACTTGGAGACACTGCATCACTGTTTTCTGGCTTCGAATATTACTGTGGAGGAGTCTGAATTGGGTGTTTTCTTCTTTGTATATGTGTTTCTTCTGCCTACATTTCTTCCTTAATCCTAAAGTTTTTAATATTGATTACTCTTTATCACTCTTGGGAAGGGCAGAATAAGTCCTTTTATTTTATGTAGTCACATCTTCAGGAAAATATTCTTCTTACAGTTCTGAATACTTTTCTTCTGTCTTTTCCAAAATCTTTTTATAGATCCCCCTCATTTCATTTTACATGATTTTATTAGTCCAGTGCTTCTCAAAAATTAAGCAAATATAAGACTCACCTAGAGAGCTTGTACTGGGTTCTATTCCTTCTGGTTCTACATCAGTAGGTGTGTGTAGGGTGGCGCTTGATAATTTATACTTTCTGATAAGTTCCCAGAGATGCTGATGGTGCAGATCCACAGACCTACCTGGCCTAGCCCAGTAATTCTCACATTTTTGGTCTCTGGGCCACTTTACTCTTTTTATTTAAAATTGAGATATAATTGGTATCTATAACATTGTTAGTTTTAGGTGTACAACATAATGATTTGATATATGTATATATTGTGAAATGATCACCATAATAAGATAACATCCATAATTTTTTTTTTTTTTTTTTTGAGATGAGAACTTTAAGATATCTCTTAGCAACTTTCACATAGGCAATACAGTATTGTCAGCTGTAATCACCATGCTGCACACTACATCTTCAGGGCTCATTTATTTTATAACTGGAAATTTGTACCTTTTGGCTTCTTTTACCCATTTTTCCCACCCTAACTCTTTAGGGACTCCTTTACTCTTAAAATTATTGAAGTCCTCAGAAAGCTTTGTGAGTTATATCTATTGATACTAAAACAGAAAATTTACAATTTTTATCAGTTCATTAAAAATAACTGATAAACTCATTATATATAAACCAGATATATTTTAATAAAAAATAAATATGTTTTCCAGAACAAATAAAAAAACATTTACTGAGAAGAGCAGCATTATTTTAAACATTCATGGGTCCCTGGACCAAACTTTGAGAACTCCTGATTTAGAGTAATGCTTGCTTTTGTTTGTTTGTTTGAAGAATTACTTAAGTTGGTTTGTAAGAGATTTGATAGCATAGATCTTTTTAAAAGCCTTTTGTATTTTCAGGTGACTTACTGAGTAACCTGTTGCAGAGTCCTAGTTCAGCCAAACTGTTGAATCAGCCAATCCCCATCCTCGATGTGGAGAGTGAGTATATCTGTTCCCTGGCCTTGGAGTGCCTGGCCCATCTCTTCAGTTGGATTCCTCTGTCTGCCAGCATCACCCCATCCCTCCTTACTACCATCTTCCACTTTGCGCGCTTTGGCTGTGACATCCGGGCCAGAAAGATGGCATCAGTTAACGGCAGCAGTCAGAACTGTGTGTTGGGTCAGGAACGCGGCCGGCTTGGGGTCCTGGCCATGTCCTGCATCAATGAACTCATGTCCAAGAACTGTGTGCCTATGGAATTTGAGGAGTACTTACTGCGTATGTTCCAGCAGACTTTCTACCTCCTGCAGAAAATCACCAAGGATAACAATGCCCACACGGTCAAGAGCAGGCTAGAAGAACTTGATGAGAGGTAATGAAAACAGGTGTGAAGTCAGCGTGCCCTGCGAGAGGGCCTTGACTGGTTATCACAGTGTTCTGCATGGTGTCTGTAATCCTCTTTGGTTTCAGAATTTTGGGCTCCTGGACAGGAACAGAAAGGTAGGTGTGTACCAGTAAGTCTAGGCTTAGCTGGAAGGGCTAGGGTGGTTAAGGGAAATGAGGTGAGTTTGAAAAGTGATTGTGAATTGTGTAGGCTTGCTGTCTTTTCCCCCATCCATCTCCTGTCCTCCCTTCCACCCGCCTTCCCCCCTCTTCCTCACTATTTGCCTGCAGGTCTGAGGTGGTGCAGGAACCGAGACTGCTGCTCATGCGTAGCCAAGGACAGGAGAGGAGGTCCGTGGAGGTACAGGAGTTACAATCTCCTTTCTCACTTGGTGTGGCTTGTCAGTTTTTACTTTTTGACTTTTCCCAAGTGGACATCAGCCAGTGTATAGGAATGTTGTCATATTGTCAGTTTCACAGATGGCAAGTTTTCCTGAAAGAAGGGAGAGATGTTGGTGTGGGCACAGGCTAATGTGGGCATACCTGTGTTTGTTTGTTATTGTCCTTTTGAATGGAGTCTAAAATAATCTCGCCTTTCCTAAGTGCCTAAAAGAGGATTCCGTCACAGTACTCTGAGGCATGGCCTCATTTATTTCCCTTGTAGACAATGTCATTTCTCTGTCTTACAACTTTCATTAATATGATGCTACTGCGGGATGAAAACAAGAGGGGAAATTGAAACTTATATTAACAGCATCATGTTGACTGTTCAGAAACTTCCAAGCAGATAAATTGTGTTGAATTAGTAAATACGTATAGATTGCCTGGCAGCCAAAGTTAATATTTTAATTAATTTTCCTTGGCTTGTTTTTTATTATTAAGCTATGCAGAGTTAATCCATTTCCTTTTCCTTAAAATAATTAACAATGCAAAGTGCCTAAAGTTAAGACAATTTTAGTGCTTTTTAAATTAAGCAATTTTAAAATTTAAAAAATGGGTTTGCTTCATGGTAAGCAAGCTTTGTATAAAATTTCTCTGTATAATCACAGAAAAATTCAGAAAATGGTATGGTAATATGTTTTATTTATTATTTGGAAATAGCTTTGTATATAAATTCAAAGGTATGAGTATTCAAACACTATTTTATATTTTTTCTGGCTTGTGTTAAGAAAGGCTGTATTTTCATGTTAAAATCTAACTGCTTGTATCAAGCATAAAATATCAGTGATTTTGACTTTTACTTGTAGCATAATGTTTGTTGTGGCTTATCTTCGCGTGGTATAGAAATGTTGTCATGGATTATCTTTGTACTGATTTTGTTACATGTAACTTTTATGCTCTTGGTTTTATATTTTAATTCTATGCTTCCTATTGCCCTGTGAAAGCTGAGAGGTGCCTGGAAGCAGAAAGGTGACATAAACAATACTGTGTGCTTGCTTCCTGGCTCTCGGGTCCCTACCACTAATTCTAAGCAGCTAAGTCCATTCTCCGTTGTTTAGGTGCCACTTAACCAGGTCCTTCGCTTCTCTTTCTCCACTGCCTTTCCCCTAACTTCCTACTGCTCATTAGCACCTGTACCAGAAGGTGGGCAAGGGAAAGAAAATGAGGTGAAATAAAATTTGTAGTTTTAGCAGCTGAACAGCCTTGTTTGCATCCTTTAAAAATTTGAGTTGGTGATTATAATAAAATTGAGATTGCGTGATTATTTTACCCATGACTTCTCTTTGTTCTTTTACGGGTGCTAGGGAATTGAGTGAATCTTTCTAAAGAGCAGTAAACAGGTTGGTGACTTTGAAAATCCCTGTAAAAATACAATGTAATAAGCAGAGCGAGGAATGAGGAGTTCCTGCTCATTCTGGATTAGTGATTAAAGGCATCAGAGAGAAGTCTCCTTGTCCTTTTCGAACCCTAGAAACAGTTGATTTCAGTGCCTTACTGTTTTTCAAGAATTTGGCCCCATGATCCTTATCAAACAAATGAATGGTATTAAAGCTGCAAAGAAGTTTACATATGTGTGCAGGAAGACCAGTGGGCCATCCTCAGGGCAGATAGGTCCCAAGAACAATATGGGACATTTTATTTATGGCCTAATTTTGCTCCTCTGAGACAAAGTCTTCTTCTCCCCCTTTATTATTTCATATATCTGCGCTTTTTAAAAATGGGATTTTTCAGTTATGAGTGTCAGAATTGGTTTAGCCATTATTTAATTTTTGGCTAAGGCCTGTTATGTCTTTATCTTTTTGTTATTGCTCTCTGAAATGTGATTTATGGAGCTATGTCCATCTCATTTTCTAATCACCTTTTGGTATTTAGGGGCTTACAATGACAGTTTCTGAGATGTGAGAGTGATGATGTGCTGTGTGTTTAATAACAAAAGTCTCTTATCCTTGCAGCTGTGACCCACACTCTTCTGTGAAATGATTTTGGGAATACAGATGATTGGGGCTTCACTGTGATGTGAAAAGAGAGCACTGACTTGAGAGTGGATGGTGTCCCATTCTGCCATGAGCTGGCTGAGTAACCTTGGGCCGATCGCTTCATCTCTCCAGGCCTCTGAAAAATGAAGCATCAGATTAAATTGTCCCGAGGCTTTTCCAGCTCTGACAGCCTTCTTCCCTTGTTTTTGAAATCACTTTGGAGTGGATTGGGATGTGCTGTGTTTAATTAGCTCCTGATGCTAATTAAACACAGGGCAGGCTTGACTATATCTTGCCTGGATGCCATGCCTTTCATACAGCCTTGTTTTGGTTTTTAGCACATTCATTTTAATATTTTGGCCTCCTACCAAAGAAAACCACCCTTCCAGACCTGCCACGTTGAAATGACACACATGATCTGCCCATTGACTTTTTAGAATAATTTCCTTTCACTTATTTGGGCCATAACACTAACGATTCAGAAAATGTGAGCACTAGCTTATACAATGCTTCATAGATGGTGTTTGAGGATTAAAGTTGCTTTTCTGCTATGTTTCAGGTGGTAATGGAATGAAGGGTTGCCTGACCTGTAGGTAATTGTTGCAGGCCTTTATATTTTTAACTGAAAATATAAATATGTATAGTTCTTTACTGAAAGAAATTTGGATTGAGTTTTCTTTTAAGGATGTGCTGCGTGTCTCATTGTCACCTTTTGTCTTCTCTTATTCAGCTACATCGAGAAGTTTACTGATTTTCTGCGGCTCTTTGTGAGTGTTCACCTAAGAAGAATTGAGTCCTACTCCCAGTTCCCTGTGGTGGAATTTTTGACACTTTTGTTTAAGTACACATTTCATCAGGTAATGCACCAGAATTGCCCATCCCTTTTTCCCCCCCAAAGTCTGCTTTGTTATTTTCAGGAGAAAGAATGACTTTACTTCCCAAACATTTTGTAGTGCTTAGTATGTAAAGATGAACACATTTATCCTTCATAACAACCCAGTGAGGTAGGTATTATTATTATCATCTTCACTTAACAGGTAAAGAAACTGAGGCACAAAAAATAACTTGCTCAGGGTCATACAGTAAGCAATGGAGCCAGGATTTGAACCCATACAGTCTGTGCTCTCTCTCTTTTTTTAAAATATATTTTATTGATTTTTTACAGAGAGGAAGGGAGAGGGATAGAGAATTAGAAACATTGATGAGAAACATCTATCAGCTTCCTCCTGGCACACCTCCTACTGGGGATGTGCCCGCAACCAAGGTACATGCCCTTGGCCGGGATCGAACCTGGGACTTTTCAGTCCGTAGGCCAACGCTCCATCCACTGAGCCAGACCAGTTAGGGCCAGTCTGTGCTCTCTTAACCACTATGGTGTTGTTGGAGAAGCATACATTCTCCTAATCCCCAACCCCTTTCAACAAATATTTTTTGAGTTCCTATTATATTTCAGGAGCTAGGTATATATAATCTTCAAAGTCCTTGCCTCCATTGAGTTTACATTTTAGTGACACAGTACTTTTATTTGTATATATTTTAACAGCTTTACTGAGGTAAAATTTATATACTACTAAATTCACCCACTGTAATGGGACAACGTAGTGACGTCAGGTACTATAGACTGGTGCCATCATCACCACAGCCCAGTTATAGACATTTCCTTCATACCCTATCCCTTGTGCCCATTCGTGTATGTGGTTAAAATCAGCTTTTTTTATTGAGGTATCACACACATACAGAAAAGTGCAGACCGTGTAACCAGCACCTAACTCAAGAATTAGAACATTAGTCATTAACAGCATCCCCCAGAAATCTCCTCCTGTCCCTTCCCAGTCACTTCCCCCTCATTTCTCCCTGAAGTAACAACCCCAGTCCCGCCTTTAACATCCCAGATTAGTTTCTAAGGGAAACAAAGTGTATTTGTTTTGTCTGGCCTTTTCATTTAGTTTTATGCTTGTGAAATTCATCTGGGCTGTGTGGTAGTAGCTGTTCTTTTTCATTGCTTTTAGTAAGTCATTGTCTGAAAATCTATTCCTCTGCCAATTTGGGCTGCTTCTAGTTTTGGTGACCAGGGATCATGTTGCAGTGAACATTTTTGCACACAGTTTTTGGTGTACACATGTAGCTCTTTCTGCTGGTACATACTAGGGATGAAATTGTCGGTGAGGGCATCTGATTTTATAAGAAGACTTTTATGGTTGTTTAAACTTCTAATGTAGCTTAATGGGGCCAGAGGAGAGGCAGGGGTCTAGGCTGGGAGAGGTGTGTGTATGTGATAGGGAACTTGGAGTTAGGATTTAGTGTGCAAGCCAGCCTTCCTCAAGGAGGTGCTTGGCACTCCATCAGAGCACCCAGTGGTCAGGTGAACCATTCCTGGTAAGGGAAGGGCCCAGGTGGAGGAGGGTAACCACAGGCTGTATTGGTTCAACTCAGTAATGTTCAGTAACTGTAGACTGGTGCCATCACCACTGGACTCTGTCAGACCTCCAAGTGTCAAGATGCCTGACAGAGAGCCCAGTGAGTGCAGAGCAAGAAGGAAAAAGTGCTGGCTCCCCAGGCCTTAGGAGGAACAGAAGAGGGGATGGAATGTAGGAGGGTGAGGATGGGAGGGAGAAAGAGACATCAAAGGTGGGAAAGTTTTGAGAGGGGTCCAGACAAATCCTAAAGGGGACCAGGAAAAAGAAGGATTTGATAGATAGCATAGGGCAGTGGTCGGCAAACTGCGGCTTGCGAGCCACATGCGGCTCTTTGGCCCCTTGAGTGTGGCTCTTCCACAAAATACTGACTTTTGCGCGTGGGCCATGAAGTTTCAATTGCACTGTATGTGCACACTCGCACGTGGTATTTTGTGGAAGAGACACCCTCAAGGGGCCAAAGAGGTGCATGTGGCTCGCGAGCCGCAGTTTGCCGACCACTGGCCTAGGGCAAGTGCAGCAGAAATGAAAGAGAACGAGCCAGCGCTGACGTCAGAAAGAAGGAGTCTGTTTGGGAAAATGGAATGAAAATGTCCTGAAGTTTTGCTCCCAAGGTAAAAAGGGATCTTTTAGTGTATATGATGTAGAAGAATGTGTTCAAGTGTGCATGTCTTAGGACTACTTCTTTGGATTTGGACTAAAAAATTCTTGTTGAGTTCTGGTTGTTTCTGTTAAGTCTGTGTCCGTGGCAAAAGTCTATTTCGTTTCTTTCGATTTCAGTTTCCTTACCTAAGGTGAGCGGCTGCAGTGGGCATTTTCAGTGTCTTTCCCGGTGTTCATCTTTCATGATTCTTTCACTAGAATCCTACATTGTAGTTCTCCATTGAACTGAAAAAGGTAGTTTTATATACATATACATACACATACACATACACGTACACATACACATATTTATATGCTGGGAAAAGAAGTACATGTGATAATGAAACAAACAACAACCTCTTCTTCCTCCTTTACCTGCAGGTCTCTGTCAGCTGAGCTCCCTTCTGCTCTGTGGCCTCCTGAGTGAGGACCTTTCTTTCTGGGTGCAGGTTCTTGGACTGTGGTGTCCTCTAGGTCTGGGCAGAAGCAGATGCTGAGTATTGGGCAGAGGGGTGGGAATCTGGAGGGTGCTCCGTGCAGTTACCACAGGGTGGGCAGCCTTTTGCTGGAGAGGCAGAGTGGAGAAGAGATGGCAGGGCACACCTGCATCAGGAGCTGGTGGTTGGGGAGGTTTTTGGATACAATTTAAGAATAAGAAATTAAATGCTCTATAGAGAGAGCTTTAAGTTCTCATCTACTCACTAACAGTGTGAACTTACTTCATCATAGTTTAGTTCACTGTAAAGTGGGGAAATATGGCTCTTCTCTTGTCTGCAGGGTTATTATGGATATACTCAGTATTTTTGCCTTTTGTTTATAAATTCATGAAAAGTTTGGTATTGGTAAACATATTTTGAAAGAATAGATAAAGAATAAGATAAAGATGGTGTTAGTATCTTTCTTCTCTTCCTTTTTCTACTTTGTTTTTCTCACCTAAGAGTCTTGCTGCAGTCCCTCCAGCCACTAGTGCTCACCAGGTGTTTGCCGCCACTGTCACTTTCCTTGCTGAGGCCCTGGGCTGTCTGCAAATAATCATATGATTTCTGTCTTCCTGCTTCTTCTCTTACTGTGTCATCACCAATTCCTTCTTGGTCTTGCATTTTTCATTTTGCCCCTTCTTCCTAAAACTCTCAGAGATAGTATGACTGGGGGGTCGGGAGGGCTCTGGAACAGAGTCTCAAGATCCCCATTTTAGTTCTGTTTCTGTTCCTTATCTTGTCACCTTGGGCAGGTAACTTCTGAGCCTTGGCTCCTTTATCTATGAAATGGGAAGTAGAAAAATACATCTGTCCAGTTTTCCAGGACTGTTGTGAAGATAACATAGACCAGCCCAGCCGGGTGTGGCTTAGTGGTTGAACGTCAACCTTTGAACCAGAAGATCATGGTTCGATTCCCTGTCAGCCTGGGTTGCGGGCTCGACCCCCCTAGTGGGCAGTGTGCAAGAGGCAGCTGAACAGTGATTCTCTCTCAACATTGATGTTTCTAGCTCTCTCTCTGTCTCCCTTCCTCTCTGAAATCAATAAAAATATATTTTTAAAAAATCACATAGACCAATGCAAATGACAACTAACCACTAGACACCACTTGCAAATAAGAGTGGTATCATTAGTTTCTTAAAGAAACTTGTCAGGATCTTTAGTGATTAATTATCCCTGGAATCTGATAAGTAAATCTGAGTGCAGGTGCATTTAAAAAATGGGCTTGTGTGGGTTCTGAAAAGTGCAGTCAACCTATAATTGTTATGATCTTACTAGTCTATACCCACAGCAATCGTCAGTGGCCAGATCTGGGTTATACACAAGGTCTCACAGTGGGGCTTGCATATATGGATGTGAGTGGCAATATTTCAGGTCCTACAAAAGGTTTATCTGCCCACCTTTTTTTCCCGTCTTCACACACATAGTACATCTTTAATTCAAAGGCATGGTAAGATGTGTATAATTATAAAGTATTTTGACAACACCATAAAACCTGGACTTATGTGGTGGCTTTTCTCTAATACACTTCCATGTGCATCTGGTCAGTTGTGTTCTTTGAAGGGGGCTGGTATTTCAAACCAAAGAAGGATAGCTGGGTGACTTAATTAAGGGAAGCTCAGCAAGCCAAAAGCCAGGACAAGACTACATCTCCTGGCTGGGCAAGTCGAGTGCCTGCCTGCCAGTTGCCCACCTTATCTCCATGTGGCTTATCAGTTGTTTTCCTGCTTAATCGCCTGCGTCATTTCTTGTCATGGACATGTCCTGCATTTTTTGAAGTCCGAAGTGGAGACAGGAAGCGGTCTTTCTTTTTTCTGAGGATGGCTTGTCAGTGGTCCTGATGGAACTCTAGCCGTCAGGTGCCAGGGCTGCCTGGCGGGTTGTGAGCTTGGAGTCTGCTGTTTTTTAAGTTATAGTTTTCAGTCTCAGACTCAACTGGGCACATAACTCCCTCTGCACACTACCAACCAACATTAGTTATTCCTTGGGCAAGTTTCATACATGTCCATGTAAACTTCTGGATTTCCTTGTGGATCAGAAATGGAAGGAAAACTGATCCAAGATGATAGTATTATTTCTTCCCACATCTGATCCTGCTACAAATATGTGGTTCGATCAAGCAATCACAACTAAAACCAAAGAGTTCTTGTAGGTAGCAAGAATTTGAGTGGATATGTAAGGGATTGAGGGACCACAAGTTGAAACTGAATATGCACTAGTATGGGGAGGACTAGATGGTGGAGAGTATAATGCCTGGATTTTGTAGGAAATAGAGCTGAAAGCTCTCCAGAGAGTTTGTCAGTGCAATCACTCAAATGGTCCAGCGCTAGGATCCTACAAAGACTTTGTCTCCTCTCCTCACTTTGTTCTGATCAACACTGGGTTAGAGATGCTGTTAGCCTGTTGGACACCCCTACTTCTGCAGATGAGATAATGCCTGAGAGTCAGACTTAACAAGCTTATTTTCAGTCTGTTATGTAAGAAGACTGCAAATGGTCTTTCCTAATGTTTTGTTTTGTTTTTTTAAATATACTTTATTGATTTTTTACAGAGAGGAAGGGAGAGGGATTAGAGAGTTAGAAACATCGATCAGCTGCCTCCTGCACACTCCCCACAGGGTATGTGCCCACAACCAAGGCACATGCCCTTAACCGGAATCGAACCTGGGACCCTTGAGTCCGCAGGCCGATGCTCTCTATCCACTGAGCCAAACCGGTTAGGGCTTTCCTAATGTTCAAATGTATAAACTTGGCACCTTTGGAGCCACTGGAATTTATTTTCAGTTTTGTAATGGTATGTCTGGAAAGAGCATTTGCCGGAGGTAAAAGGCCCTGCTCCTCCCCCTGAGCTTGAATAAATCATATCTTTGGATCTCAGCTTCTTTCTCTATGAACAGATTTGAATTGGATAATCTGAAAGAGTCCTTCTTACCACTGTCTTAGATTTTAATATAGGTGTTTGCTCGGCTTATTTTGTAACTCAATTTGTCCCACTTAGTATCCCCCTAATGACGTGTTCTTTCCACATCTGATCCTGCCACCAATTATGTTCTTTCCACATCCTGCCACCCCCGCCTTCCCTCTGAGATTGGACAGTCTGTTCCATGCTTCTCTGTCTTTGATACCCTTGTCTCGTTAGGTTCAACAGGCCTAATTGTGAAGACCCTCTAAAAGACACCAGGAAGTTGAGGGAACCTAGACTTACGTTTGTAACACTCTGGTAGAAGTATACTGGTGGGTGAGTTCCTAAGGAGTATTTGCCTTAAGTAATTTCATTGTCTGGATTTCTTTTGCCCATAGCCTACTCATGAAGGTTACTTCTCTTGTTTGGACATCTGGACGCTGTTTTTGGACTATCTGACAAGTAAAATTAAAAGTCGTCTGGGAGACAAGGAAGCAGTGCTCAACAGGTAAACCCCAGAAATGTTGATAACTTAGAAACAGACATTTTTGCCAGTTTTTCTTATGGCCTTGAAGGGTCAGCCATGCAGCCAGACCTCTTCAGTGACACCGAGTCACATAACCTAAAGTAGTAATGCCGTTTAGTATTTTCTTCTTTTCCCCCCTTAATACTTTATTTTCTGAAAACATTTTTTTTTTTATTAAAAAAAATATTGTTAATTTTTTTAGGTGTGATATGCTTCATGTTGTGTGTGTGTGTTTCTTTTTAAAATATATATTTTTATTGATTTCAGAGTAAGGGAGAGGGACAGAGAGATAGAAACATCAATGATGAGAGAGTATCATTGATCGGTTGCCTCTTGCACGCCCCACACTGGGGATCGAGATTGCAACCCAGGCATGTGCCCTGATGGGGAATCGAACTGTGACCTCCTGGTTTATAGGTCAATACTCAACCACTGAGCCCCGCTGGCTGGGGATTGTGTGTTGTTTGTAATGACATTAGTGAAGTATTTTATTGGATGAAATGATGTGACACCTGGGATTTGCTTTAAAATAATCCACTGGGAAGAGAGGGGGAAGTGGTTGGCCATATGTGGTTGAGATTGAGTTTAGTTGGTAGGAACTTGGGGTTCATTATATTCTTACTCCTTTTGTATGTGTTTGAAAATTTCCTAAATAAGGCAATAAATACTTGTCATAGAAAAGAATTTATTTTAGAAACCAGGCAAAGATAGAAAATATAAAGAAGATAAGTTACCCATAATTCTGTAATCCACAGATAATTAATTATTTTTGTACTTTTAAAATGAAATATATGTATTTAAAATTTTTTTTAAAAAGTCTTTATTGTTGCAAGTATTACATATGTCCCCTTTTTCCTCCCATTGACCCTTCTAGCCCATCCCCACCCCAGACCTTCACCACCCTATTTTCTGTGGCCATGGGTTATGCATATATGCATACAAGTGCTTTGGTTGATCTCTTCTCTCCCACCCACCCACTCCACCTTCCCTCTGAGATTCGACAGTCTGTTCCATGCTTCTATGTCTCTGGATCTATTTTGTTCAACAGTTTATTTTGTTCCTTAGATTCCACTTATGAGTGAGATCATGTGATACTTGTCTTTCTCTGACTGGCTTATTTTGCTTAGCATAAAAATAGAAAATGGGGAAATGTTTTTCCCCCATGTTTCTTAAGCTCATTTTTTTGCTTGCAGGTAGAAAGTGTGTTTCTTGTACACTGTGGTCATTACTTCATTTGAGAAATAATGAGCTAATGTATTTAGAATGCTTGGCACATTATAAATGCTCTGTAAATGGTATCAGTGGTTGGTGGTGGAGACTGTGAGCATGCCTTCCCTAGAAATGTGCCAAATGGAGGTGGTGAGGAGAATCCCCGCCTGGGAAGAGGTTGGATGGGACCTCTAAAACCCTTTCCCCTGCTGAGGTTTTATGAGCTTTTAAAATCCTATATAATAAAGAGCTAATATGCAAATGGTCATCACGCCCTCATGCCCTCGCACAGGGCCGTGGGACCTGAGGCTGTGCCCCCCGCCCTGCCAGGCTTGACAGGGGTGGGGCCAGCCGGGTCTGGGTCTCGCGCAATTTCAAGGTGTGTGCGGGTGGGCGGGGACTTGACTCTGGGTCCCATGGTGTGCCCCAGACTCTGACAGGAGGGAGATTTTCATATACATTTTACTAATTTTCTTTCATCTCTTGACACTTATATTATACAGTAAGGGCAAATAGCAATATTAAAATATTTCCTCGAATTAATTCCCTTTTAATATGCACGAATTTCGTGCACCAGGCCACTAGTTGTAAATATTTGCATTCTAAGTTTAAACATTTGCACTTTTTCCCCAAACATTACTTTTGTGATTGCAAAATAGCTTCCAAGTTGCTATGGTGCCAACTCATGTGTGGTAATGGGTAGTACATTCATGTATCAGAAACCTTATTACACAACAGTAGATCCTGTTTTGGTGAATTTGCTAACTGTAAGTAATTGTGTTTTTGAATGAAATTCTTCAAAGCAAATGCGCTTTCGCCAAATTCTCTTTCTTGGATGCCTAACAGCTGCATTGTTTGGTCCTGGGACTATGCCTAATTTTGCTATATTTAGTTGTAGATATTCTTTCATATCTCTCAGGCTTGTTGAAAGAATAAACTGGGGAAGTGATTAATATGGAAATTCTTCTTAAAGCATAGTACAAGTGTGCTTTAGGTGTGGAGAATATGGTTTCATTGAGAAAATGTACACTAACAGACTATTACTATTAAATATACACTTAGACAGACTATTGTCCCAATGCAAGGATCAGTGGTATAGAGTTTAAATTCTTTTGCTGCTTCATGGTAGCAGTGCTACTTTGGTCAGGTTATATGCTGACCACATTTATTTCCTCTTGCAGAATTAGCATACTAATACCTGTCTTGAAGGTTGGCTAGGATGTATATAGAATCATATATATAAAATACCTGCACAGCACCTGACATATGATTAGACACTCAGTCACTGCTTTGACCCCAACAGTAATAATAATAGATGATGTTGCTGCCATTTGGCTATGGTGGTGACCATGGAGTTAAGTGACAGGGCCCCTGGAGAGCCTAAAGGCCTTTAGCCTTCCTGCTGATGTTGACCTATCTGCCCAGGCACCTGTTATCTGATAGCATCTGATACCACAGTTGTCAGTGGTTCTGGCTGACTACTGTTTTTTTGTTATTGTTAATCCTCACTCAAGGATATTTTTCCATTGATTTTTAGAGAGAGTGGAAGGGAGGGGGAGAGAAAGAGAGAGAGAAACATCGATGTGAGAGAGACACATCTATTGGTTGCCTCCTGCACAACCCCAACCAGGAGCAGGGATCAAGCCTGCAACCAAGGTATGTGCTCTTGGCCCAAATCGAACCTGTGACCCTTCAGTCCGTGGGCTGACACTCTATCCACTGAGCCAAACCGGGTAGGGCCTGGCTGACCACTTTTAACACTAGGGATTTTTCTCATTGATCATTTGATTATCATCCTAAATGAGGCTTTCTAATTTTTCATGACTGTTTAAAAAAATATATTTTTATTGACTTCAGAGAGGAAGGGAGAGGGAGAGAGATAGAAACATCAATGATGAAAGAGAATCATTGATTGGCTGCTTCCTGCATGCCCCTACTGGGGATTCAGCCCACAACCCGGGCATATGCCCTTAACTAGAATCGAACCTGGGACCCTTCAGTACACACGCCGATGCTCTATCCACTGAGCCAAATGGGTTAGGGCAGTGGTAGGCAAACTGCGGCTCGCGAGCCACATGCGGCTCTTTGGCCCCTTGAGTGTGGCTCTTCCACAAAATACCACGTGTGGGCGCGCACATACAGTGCGATTGAAACTTCGTGGCCCATGCGCAGTATTTTGTGGAAAAGCCACACTCAAGGGGCCAAAGAGCCGCATGTGGCTCCCGAGCCGCAGTTTGCCGACCATGGGGTTGGGGCATGACTTTTTTTAAAAGCATACACTTACAACACTTTTATGTCTTTAAACAACAAAAATACCCAAACCCAAGCCTTCAGAGCTGGTCTGTGGCTTATGCTGTGAAAGAGTAACCATCATCTGAAGACTTGCTTGTCCATCACATACCCCTTAGTGGCCTAGGGTAGTAGACTGACCTGTAGTAGACTGAACGGTGTATAAGTAGTCCACTGGGGTCCACAAAGAAAAAGGTTGAAATTCACCTGATAAACTTTATCTGTCACCTTTTATACTGTACAGTATACAAATATGCTCAAAAGTTTTTAAATGAAAGTTTCGAAAGTTTGGTAGCCACTGTTTTAGTTATAAAAGACCCCAATATATCAGACTGTGCTGTTTTGCAGAAGCAGCTGAAAAAGAGCACTGGCTATTGGTAATTACCACATTCATTTTCTCTGAGAGCTTATAAATATGGTCAAATGTTTTTCAACTGATAAAATATATCTGAGAGAAGTTGGGGTGCTTTTGGAATCAGACTTGTGGTTGAGCCAGAATTTCAGAAACAATTGATCTTACAGGAAGTAGTCAAGAATGTTTTCTCAGTGTCTTAGTGGGAAATGTAGGTGTGGTTAAGTCATAGAGGCAGCACTGAGTTCCTGTCCCTTGTGGTTTAAAGGTTTTGCATCATTCGTCACTGACAACAATGTGATAGACATTGTAGGCTACAAATTTAGAAGCACAAATGTACATGGATTTATTTTTGGTCTTAGGAGCTTGGAAATTGGAGCTCTGCATATTCCTTGCTCAGTGAGAATACTCCAGTGCTTCTTGATCAGAACTGGTGGGGATTTTAGAGAACTTGAGTTTCAATGTTAATGGAGTAAAAAAGTTCTGTAACTTACCCAGCTGAACTTGCTGGTGGGGCCCAGTGGCTGTGAATCAGTGGTTGAGCTTCAGCCTATGAACCAGGAGGTCATGGTTCGATTCCTGGTCAGGACACATGCTCCTGTTTTGGGCTAGATCCCTAGTGTGGGAGGCAGCCGATCAATGGTTCTTCATCATTGATGTTTCTGTCTCTCTCCCTCTCCCTTCCTCTCTGAAATCAATTTAAAAAATAAGAATTGCTGGTGAGGCTCATTGTCCAGATTTGCCATTTTGAGGTGGTGTGGAAAGACTTGAATTTCTTTCTACTTTTCCTCATTTTGTACTTTATGGATGGTTGTACCTATCTTGTAAGTTGTTGAGAAAATTAAATGAACCAGTGTGTGTAAAGCACCGTGGCTGACAGTAAGTGCTCAGTAAATATGTATTGGTGTTCTTCCCTTTTCTCTCTCTCGCTCTCTTTTCTTTGTGCTTGTCAATGTGAAGGGAGCCACCTGTGTAGAAACTTATTTTGACAGGAAGATGAGGAAACCTGAAGTGAGTTAAGCAACTAAAGTTATTGACTTATAAACTACGGACAAGTGCTGGCCACAGACCAGTCAGGGATTCTGGGTGACACTAGATTGAACTGTAAACAAAAGTGGGTGAGCATGAAAAA